TGTGAATATGCAGCACTGTTACAAACTAAAAAATAATAGTGTGAGACTACAATTACAGAGTTTGTTGTGTAAGCCTCTGACCTATTGCCATCTGATCTTTTGCTCTTTTGCCATCGGCATCCGAAATCAAAGACTTTGATCTTTGGCATGTGGTAGGCCTCGTGTTCAGCACCAGGGCAAGAAGCCAACCATAGAGACACTCTGGCATCTAGAGCATCTCCATGGAGGACCCAGCCTCTGGTTGCCTCAGGGCATGGTCCAGGACTGTGCCCTGCTCCGCTTTTTTAAGCTTCATTTTTTTAGACCCCTGGATATCCAGGGGTCTAATTTTCTCCCCACACTGCAAGTTTGCAGCAGAAGGAACATTTTTTTGTTCCCACACATACCTCTTGCCCCGTCTCAAAGGGGTTTGAGATGGGGCAAGAGGCACCTGCATGCTCATCTGGATGCACCCAAGGAGAGTAATGGACAAAACATAGCTCAAACCAACTGCATACAATCTCTGATTCAGGTATGTAAGGGTTTGTACAGACATTTGGGTAGATTAGGGGAAGTTAGATGGAGTTAAAAATGGCCACCTGATTTAAGGTAAGAGGGGATAAGGGGGTCTAGTAGGCTGGGAAGGTTTGGAAAATTCAGGAGGGTTAAGGGAGTCCACAGGGGGGCTTGTGGGAATCAGGGGAGCAAGCAGGGTCTGTGAGGGGGGGAATCAGGGGGCTAGCAGGGTCCATAGGAGGGTTGATGGGGTCCAAAATGTTTTGGCAGGATCAGGGGGTCTAGAGGGTCCACAAATCCCATCAGGGGTTCTCTGATTCCATCAAATCCTTCCACACCCCTTCCAGCATCAGCAAACTTCCCCTGACCCCACAACTGCTCCTAGTGCCAGTTTTACTAGTTTTCAGTGGGCACAAGAGCCTAATTAAAGAAAGCTGAGCTAGGTGGAGAAGTGGGCACATTAGAAGGACTGGTGGCTTCATAGGAGCATGCATGGGATAAGTAAAGCTGGCAGCTCTGTAGGGTTGGTTGGTGACAATGGGAATCTCTCCCCACCTTGTGACCAGGGGCTATTTTTAGCCCCCTGACCCTCCTACCCCCAGACAAACAACCCACTTTGTTAACCAACCCTCCCATCCCTACCCCCACTATGTGTTACTTCCATCAGCTCCTGGCACTGGTGAATACTGGTAAAACCAGCACCAGGGGTGGCTTGCAGGATGGGGGTTTGGTGGGCTTGGGGGTGGGGGGAGCTAGTTGGTCTATGGGTGCAGTTGTCCATCTAGGGGTGGGGTGAGGGGTTGGTGGAGGGTGTAAAAATAGCCTGGTGTTGGGATACAGGCAAGAAAACACAACCGTGGGGCTTGGATCAACAGCTGAGCTTTCCCAGCCCCAAGGCTGTGCTGAGCACTGTACAGAAATTCAGTTAAATCAGTCTTGCTGAACCTGATCTAAGTTAGACTACTTCTGAGCTACAGTTAATTTAGATCAAGTTGATCGCTTTTAGACTATCTAACCTTCCTGAACTTCTGTACAGTTTGCACTTAGATTAACCTAACTGGGGATCTAAGGGTAAGGTCCTCAGTGGGGTGAACCAGTCTGTGCCTAGCCACAATCTGGTTCAGGTATGAGTGGAATTATTAATCTAGCCCAAAGACAGTGAATCATAACAAATTAGGTTCATGAGCCTGATTTACCAGCTTTATTCTTTGTGACTCCACTGAAATCACCGCATGGCTCCCCAGAAAACATACTAATGTACACAGGAGCAAAAACTTTCCATAAGATGTTAATTATTTGAAACTCAGCAAGAACCAGACCTACAGATGCACCCGGAAGATAAAAAAAAGAAAAAAAGTCTTATGACACACATTCAAAGTCCCTGTCTTGATAAACAAGCAGTCAGCCAATCCTCCTGGGTACAGACAATAATCCCACCTGGACCTCACCAAGATTGGGTTGCTTTACAGAAAAGCCATTTAAATGGGCAGTCAAAGGTACCATAGCTCAAAATACTTGAGATTTGCCAGGAAAGAAAGTACCTCAGATCCTCAAGTAACAGACACAGCATGAGACAATGTGTGTAAATGCTAACAGAGGCATTGAAGAGAACAATACTATCCAAACTAAGAACCTAGCACAAATCATAGCATAAACCTAGATCTGTCAGAGTGCTGGTATATGAGAACATGATTTTTCATTTGGGCAGATTTTTGCCTTAACTGGGTAAAACATTTAAGAATATACTTCAGATCCTCCTTATTTGGAAACGCACTTATGGTTGAATCCTATAGCTGTAGCACTAAGTAAATGGGGATTTTGCCATTGAATTGAATGTGCTTAAATCTCATTGATTTAATATTAAGCATATGCTGAAGATTTGCTGAATGTAGACAGACTGCTAAATAATTGGAGACTTAAAGCAGATATTGCAGAACCAATATTCATATTTTGTCTCTGTGATTTTTCTGTATGTATACTGTATTCTGTGTTTCATGTTGGGCAATGCAAAGCAGTATTAACCTGTGAAGCAGTATTGTAAATTATTGTTTGAGGAAAATAAAAGTCAATGACTTTGGACAGACATTTTTCACAATCAGTTCTTTAAATCTTTATCACAAATCAATATTGTATGTCAATTGTTAAATAAAATAAAAAGTTACAATTCTCAAATAATATGTGGCACACAATTATCCAATAGGTATTGCATTATACCTACTTCTTTACTATATACAAGAAGATTTTGCTGTATTTACAATTACACTGCACAGCATATCATTTCACACAAAATTCCATATATATACTCATAGGTACATAGTTTTTGATGAGAACAAGAGAGAAGAGATACATATTACATATGATGGCTGCAAATGAAGTAAAAACTGGACAACCAGCACATAAATATTTAGTAAAGGCAAAAGACTACGTATGTATAGTAAAGAAAACTGCATCCATCTGCTGTCTCTTGTATTATATTTAGATTTTAAGCTCAAGGGACCATCATTTTGTTCTGTGTTGGTACAGTGCATACCACAGTTTGGTCCTGATAGATAAGAGGAATTTTAAATTGAGAGCTTCTACCTTATTATTCTTTTATTATGAAATAATTCTGCATTTAAACAGAAGTATTTTTCAGGCAGGAGTTTGCTATTAATCCATTTCAGTGTTATGTTAGTTCATGTGAAATTAAGATGGAATGTAATCACAGTAAATGTGATGTTCAATTCAGTTTCAAGTACAATCTCATTATAACCAGTGATACTACAATAAAGATCAGTATATCAACACTACAAGGCAGCTAAGCAAATGCTTGTTGGAGATCTGTTCCTGCATGCTGTGAAACTAAAAAAGCTATGATTAGTAGACAAGGTACTGCAGAAAAGAAAATATTAACTGAGAAATGTGATTTTATTATCACTATAACTTCCTTACTTCGCTAAGTTTTGCATTATTCAGCAGAAAATTGAATGTAACTGAATTTATTTAAAATAAACAAAATCACTGGACAGATGCAGTAAATTAGCAGCTGTAACACAACTTTCATTTTTTCCTTTCACTTCCTAAAAAATTAAGATTGAGGCCCTGACACACATTCTGTCCACAGAATGGAGCAGAGTATTACAGGATACATTTGCCAGAAGAATAAATCATGATTGACAAAATGAAATTTGTTAATACAATGGTTTGAGGCAGTTGACAGAATTTTTTGTCAACAGAACAGATTAAGGGATTCAAAAAATGAAATTTGCAGATGGAATGGCTTTGATGTTTCTGATGAAAAGTATTTTGTTGACAGAATGGATCAGAGTGAAAAAATGCATTTTCTCAACACAAGGGCTTTAGCTCTTTGACAAAATGTATTTCATCCCAGATGTTTTGGCTGAGTTGTCAATTATTTTCCTTGTCTGCCATTAACCAATCACATCGCTGTCAAGGAAAATCTTTCTTTAGTGGCAGACATGGGAAAGTACCTGAAGGTATCACCAACAATTGGTCAGGTCATTAGCTATGATAATGTAGGTAGCGTAAAGTTCATTAAATGCCAAACTAAACATACCTGTGGAATAAGTCAGATTTCTCATTACTATCCTTTTAGTCTGTTTCTTATTTTCTGTCTAGGCCTCTAGGCCATGCCAAACAGGGCTTCTATGGTGTATAATTATTAGGAAATCCACTGGATTTCTTTTCATGCAGTTAAATGTTATCCTTTCTTGTTTTATGAAGGTGTAATTATTTAAAAAGTTACTCCGAGTATTGACTAAAGTAAATTTCTCCTCAATTTACTATTAAGCAGTAAAGACTAGGGCTAAATTAAACTTTCAGGTACAGTTCAAGAAAGAGATGATGCAAAAAGTGCACTTTATTTAGAGTAATCCAGTTATATGCCTCCCTCTTTCCCCAAAACAAAGTTTCCATCATTCTTCCTTCTTGCATCCTGGAATAAGTCACCTCTTTTTGTGGAGCAGCTTACTTCCTTTTAGCTGTTCAGCTAGCAAGTCTGACTGGCAAAATTGAGGAGAAGGTGGGAAAGAGACACAGATTCTAAAACTTCCCAGCTCTCTCCATCTCTCACCACTTGCTTGAGGGCAAGTAGCTGCTGGTCAGGCACAGTATGAACAGAGCTATTTGGTGGGCAAGTGAGTGCACAGCTAAAGGAGGTCAAATGAAGAAAAGAGGGCAGCAGCAGGAGTGGATTCACAGGGCAGAGGGGGATATAGTTGCACCCTCTGTGGCTGTGCTGTTAGGGTCAGTTGTGTTGTCCCTTGCCTGCATTGCCTAGTTTGAATGAGTGAGGAGGTTCTGGATTATCAGAACTTCTCAACTTCTCAACTCCAGTATGTAATGACCTACTTTTGTTGTTGTGAGCATGCCCAGTGAGTACCCCACATTTTGGCAGGAAAATGTTAGGAAGAAATGAGTGTGTTAATTTGAGTGACAGTTGAATACCATGCACATGAGAGAGTGCCATGTGGAAAAGCATGGTGTCAGGTGCACGAGTGTTTGGATGTGGTATTGATGGACAGGTGTCAATCAAGATGCTTGCATAAAAGGGAGCTGATCAGTGTGACCATTGTTCCCTGCAGATTGAATGTGATGTGTAAGTTTGGTCATGTATGTGGGGCCTTCCTGGGGCTGCACCTATGAGTGCACCAAGGAGTATCCCCTGCAGTGCGAATGGTGAGAGGCTTAAGTGGGATCCCACCCAAGGCTGTGGTTGTTCCCTGTACAGTATGGTGGGTCTTTGTGTGCTTGTAGATGTCACTGGTGTACAGCATTGTAGCAGAACATGTCACGTTGTGTGCATCTGTGTACATGTGGCAGGGAATTATAGGTCATTTGGACCAGCTGAGTGTGACAGTGAGTGAGGGCCCATGTGCGACCAATACCTCATCTCTCTTGCGTGAATGCAAGAGCGAGTAAGCTCTCCTCTCCCTTGTTGCTTGTGTATGGAGTGAAGATCCATGTGGGACCAAGACCTCATCTGTTGGTTGTGTGGTTGCTGCCTATAGCACTGCTGCTGCGAAGGGAGAGAGCCAGTAATTGTTCTTTAGCACCACCTGCTTGGTGTAATTAGGTATATTGTTAGAAGCATTTTCAGTGTGTTGTAGTATATAGTTAGTGTTGGCTATTGTTGTTGTCTAATCCACTGGTTGTTGATGATACCCTCATTTGCATGTCAGTGTCTAATCAACGATCGCCAGCCTGTGGCCAGAATAGCTTGGGCTGGTTAAAGCAATTAGCCTCCTGCCAGCATGTACTGCAGGAGAGGGGGTTTTGAGGAATAACGACCGTTGCGGGCATTCAGGTGCCAAATTAGTGATCTCCCATCTCCCTTATCAATACCGCTGTGCACGCTTAGTGAACTCTTTGAGCTCACCAGCTCATCAGCAGTGCTTCTTGCCAGAGCCTCCAATTTGGTACCACTCTGGAACCCCAGGGGTGAATGTCACCATGGCTCCCCTCTCATCCCCTTGCCCACCACCAAATTCAGTGGCAGAAGAAAAGCAGGGCAAGCAGCAGCAGTATTCACCCCAGAGTCACTGAGCCATGCCAAAACTGTAACTGCCCTACACTCCCTTGGATCCAGCCCTGGACAACAAGAAACCACATAAGTTTTCTCTAGCAATTAGAAAGGTAGAGTAAAGGCTAGGCCAAGAACAAACACAGAGCTGGCAAAAAACTGAACCACAGGTAGACAAGGGGTAGTATAATCAGATCCAAGAAGAGATGGCTTCACTCTACTTAGTATTGTTTAAGTCCGCTAGACTACTGTGCTCTGAGATCACATTTTACGAAGGCTATAGAGAAACTGAAGGGGATCCAAAAGTGAGTGACAAAGTTGATAAAGGGGTTTGGAAATAAGTCAGACAAGAACAAAGGTAGAGAGAATCTGGAGAAAAGATGCTGGGGTGGGAAAAGGAGAAAGCATGTTAGTAGCATTCAGATATCTAAAAGCTACCACAAAGAAAGAGAACAATGGTTCTCCCTTGCTACAGAGAGCAAGGCATAAGGCACTGGATTAAAACAGATATCAGATTTATAATAATTTTCGGCAAATAAACTTTCTTCATGTAGAAACCATAGGACAGCAGAATGAGTTGCCTAGAGATGGAACTGCTTTCATTGGAAGTTTTTCCAGAAGGGGCTGGATAGGTCTTAGTCTGGGATGGTTTAGAGACAGGGCACCCTGCATCTATGCAGGGTGTTGATCTTTGAAGTCCCTTCCAATCCTATTATTCCATTACCTACATTGCAAAATGGATAAAGTTGTTCTAGCTTCATTCATGTTAAATACTATCTAGTGTAATGGTAGCACCCTAACAGACCCTAAATAATTCTTACTGCTAGTACTAATATACATTATCAGCTTGCAGCCTTGTGCATTCTGGGTTTAACCTCATTTCTTTTAATAGGCAATGTATGCGTGTTCCAAGGAGAAGATTTATCAGAATTCTGGGGGTGCTACATATTTCACTCCAAATGCTTTACACGGTTTATTATGTTCTATTTTCTAAATAAACCACCTGCTTTACTGTCACTGTCATTACCGTGCTTCTTTGTATTCCCTATGGCTTCAGGGTAAAGTTCCATTTCTCTGTGCAAAGAAAGGTCAGCCCACTGAAACAAAATTGCCCCTCATATAATAACTGCATAAATCTAATTATCTGTGAATATATCTCCTCCTCTTTGTAAACTTGAGTTCTTACTAACCTCTTTTTGTTTAGCAATATTTTCTTATGGCAGTATTTCCCCGATCTCTTTCATCTTTTCATTTTGGGGGGTTAATTCATATCAACATCACACAAACAGTACTGAACACAGTACTACTGGGGTACCTGTTCAATACCAAGTAGTTAGAGCATTTGTCTAATAAATTAGTTTCCCAATCCTAGTTCAGAATATTTCATCACATAACTTTGTAGATAAACACCAAGGCTGTTGATACTGAAGTTATTTACTGCACCTGCATGTTGCCAGACAGAAATGCTAATACAATTGGAACTTTGGAATTGTATATAGCATATTACAATTTGCCATCTTTCACACAGCAGATTTATCACAAAAAATAGGAATTAATTCACCTAGGAATGAAAATACATTACTATGTAAAATTGAATTGATTAGATAGTATAGATCTGCCCAGGTGGGCTTCTGAGGGGTATACATCTGAATGGGTACAATGAACCTCTGCACACACACGTGATTGAATTCATTGCAAATATCAATTAGTGGTGAATGCAAGTACTCAATCTGCATAGGAAAAAAGTTGTCTCAGCCTGTAAATGTAGAGGTTGAGAGGTACAATTAGTGTATTCAAAAGTCCAACAAGTCCCCTGTTGTGTATATAATAATAAACTTGTTCCATGAAATTTAACTGAAAGAAGAACATTAACACATTCTATTTTATCCAGATTCTACTCAATTCCATGTTGCAAAAGAAATGTAAAACAGTTACCCAATATTAATTATAAAGCTGGAGCATATTCCACAAAGATACTCAACTGTAGCTAGCTGAAGGAATTTTAGTATTATTGTTATTAAGTTTTACTATTTATTTGTATTGCAGTATGCTCTTAGGAACACCGGTCACAGCCCAGGTGCTATGTAGAACACAGGACAAAGAGCTTCCAGTCCTATTGTCAGAGCCAAAACTTTTAAGGCCTTTAAAAACATTCTTCATGTTTTCTTTAGTAAACCCTCCCATTGGCTGGGATTTTACCTTTAAGCTTTAGAGCCAAGGTTTTCAAAGAGCCTAAACTGATTAAGAAGAGTCAGGTAACATTATATTTATGTATAAACACCTTTCCTGGGTTACAAATAGTGTAATTTTTTTCCAGGGAATATTTTATAAATTGTGTTATTAGTTTATAAGGGAATTTAATGGCCAATAGAATGAGGAAGACAAAGTTATTATTGGACATCAATTATCCATCATATTCTTTTTACAATACATTGGTCATTGGTGAACATGTTTGGCTGCAGAGATCAACTCCAGCACTTCTACCAGCACTAGCATTTGTAGTAGCTCTTCTCTCCCACTTTAGTGGAATGTGCCTCTCAAACAAATTAGGTTTGAAATTATATAGCAGATATGCTAATACAGATATGCTAATACCTAATTAGGTGACACCTTGTATGTTATCTAATGTAACTACATTACTCAACAGCAGTTTAAAGCACACTGCTATCAACATGAACTCATTTACATTTTACAGTGTGACACACTGATATTAAACAGGCAAATGGAATAACATGCAAGATATTCACTATTACAAGTTTCCTGATCATGGACATGTATATTTAAAGAAAGCATTGTGGAAATCAATTGGTAGCCATTTAGCTGCCCCTTTACTATTAAAGAGATCATAGCTTACTGTAGGTGAGAATCTGGGATTCATAAAAGTGATGAATATAAGAAATAGAAATATTTTTGTAGAACAAGGTCTCCATATAAATATTCTCTTGTGCACCAGGTAGTCTAACACAAGTTCTTAATAAACAGAGGTCCATCCTCAACTGGTGTCAACTTCCTTTCTTCCTCAACTGGTATCCATACTAGCAGTCTTAATTTACTTACATAATTATAAGAATCATATCTAGTTCAAAATGCTTTCCAAAGAAAGCAAGCAGTATTATCCAGTCTTACAGGTGGGAAGTCTGAGACGCAGAGGGGTGGAGTGATTTGCCCAAGGTCATTCTGGAGACTAGTGCCGGAGCTGGATGAAGATGCCAGGTCTCAGGATGCAGTCCCAGTGCTGCACCCATGACTTGATTACTTCCCCTTCACTCCCATTGGACTCTCTAATGTAGTCTATCTTTTGAATTTCTGTCTGTAAGCTCCTCATTTAATTTTAGTGCCATGCTGGACATCTAAAATTCTGCTGGTGAAAGGAGGATTACAGACACACTGCAGCACCACAAGCCCTATGCTGGAAACACTTTCCTTTCATGGAAACCACAGCAGAAGTTACATCAGAGCCTCACCTCACATGTATTTTAAGTTCACAGTACATCGCCCACCAGCCTTTTTAAAATGTCCTATAAAATTCTAGCTAAGGCAATGTTTTGAGGGATTTAGCATTCACTTACTAATGAAAATTATTAACATCTGCAGCTCCCGTTGATGGTGATATTATATTTTTTGTCTTTACTTCCACAGGGTTTGTCTACAATTTTCCAAGTATGAATACATTAAAAGAAGAGTGACTAGAAATCCTACTTTGCAATTTAAACCATTAGCTAGAACAGATGGTCAAAACAACCTGGAAAACCTAGCAACTACATAGTTTAGTGCTATGTATAGTGCTATGCAGAATGCCAGGAAATAGGAATGTCTACAGGCATTATAATAAGGTGAAGAAATTTATAGTTACTAAAGAGGATCATACTGTGTTTAGAAGAGTGCAAGTGAGTCATAATGATATAAGGAATATATCAAAGAGATCTGGGAAGAGCTTGGCAATTCTGAATAAATGTTATGCTGTACATGATTATAACCAAAAGGGTTAAAAATGTGTAATCTTGCAGCTGTATGAAAAAAACTTGAACATATACTGAGGAACTGAGTAAGGATGCTCAGGCTGATGATAAATGTCTTCTCAGTCAAATGATTTGTACGTTTTATTGTAATGTCTGAAATTTTAAAATTACCCAACTATAAAACTTCAACAAATTCAATGTATTCAGAGTTCATCATATCTGAAATCTATATAAAAATACAAAGTTTCCACCCATAATCAGCAAAATAATGAACAAAATGTATTCAGATAAATCATTTTCATTCAAAAAGAGTACACAGGGAGTTGATCTTTGCATGCCACTCTGAATAATTTTTATTCAAATAAGTATTTGATCTGAATATAAAAGTTACCGTGTATTACTGTGTATAACCAGCTGCAAATTGCACATTAACTTAGTACTTACTGCAGTATACATCTTCAAAAAAAAATGGCTTCATGCTATAGGTCTTTGTTAAAGTAATGCCAGAAACTGAAGTCTGATTGCAATCTCATTTATTAAAGACCCAAAAGTGAACCCCTTATTTACACTGAGGAAGTTAATCACACATTTAAGTCAGAATCTGGCCTGGTTGCTTGAAAAATTCATAGATATATGCATACAATTGCTACAGATTCTAGCCCTAGGGTTTCCAACCCTGGTGGCATCAAAGACATTAATAGACTTTGTTCATATTGTCATTTAATATGAAAGTGTTTTTTTTAATATATATTTCTTTGGCAAGAATGATCAAACATTTAAGAACAAGCATACCTGTGAGAAGGAATTACACATCACAACTATTATACTAGATCACACTGACTATTAGGAGGACACAATTCATTTTCACCCTCCAAGTTATTTAGTTCTTGTTCTAGGGTATGGGATTTTGTTTTCTTTTTTGATGGAACACAGGCACCCAGCCAAAATCCCCAACAGGATAGATTTTCTATTTATGAATATGTAAGGTACCCATCAAGAAAATAGGAAAAAAACCAAGAACCAAGTTAACTTGTCATGATTGTTTCATGGTAAATTCAATTATTGGCTCTTGTAGATGCAAAACCTCCTTGGATGACCTGCTAGCAGGAGCTGAATCTTGGACTTCCACATAGAAACATATAAGCCTGTACTGTGACAGTTAAAGGCCACTAGCTCAACAGCAGCAGATTCATAAGCTTCTTTTTAACATGATCCACTAGGGGGAGAAGAGAGCTACACTGTTATAATGCAAGTTGCATGAACAATGGAGAATAGCCTCTTCATTGTCTTGGAGAATGTACTTACAGTTATTGAAATCAAAATTAGGACTTTAATTTTTAGCCTAGGAAGGAGCTCATACCATTCTTCTTTAACAACTCTTTCCTTTGCTGAGGCCAAATTCTATTCTCTATTTCCAAAGAAAAAGAGTCCTAGATGCCAACAGTCTGAAGCAGCCTGATTGTTAAGTACACTAATATCTTCCAAACCCCTGGGTTCAAATCATGGCAGAGACACATAAACAAAATATCACAAAGGAGGCCATTTGGCTATCTCCGTTTATTTTTCCCCATATCCAAGAGAAAGGGAAGACAGTGACTTAAAATAGAAATAAATGCTAGTTATCTATAAATAATTTGTGACAGTCATTCTTAGGGGGTAGGATTCAGGTCAGAAGAATAAGGGCATTCAGAAAAGAAGTGTATGACTAAATGCATAATGTAGACAGATATGGGGCCATACTTTCTATTTGTTTAAGGATTACTATGTGTAATGATCCATACATTAACAAGAATAACTCATGCTGAAATCAAGTGATTCTTTGGAGAATCCAACCTTATATTTGAATTTTTTTCTGACCCTTGTGGTTGTAGAGAAAAGCTTGCAAATGTGAAGAGTGCACCCCAGAGTCTCTGAAATCATAGCAAAAAAGAGCCCAAAACATGTATTATTCTAAAAACACCTCAGAATAATGGAGGCCCTGAGCAATGATTTTTGAATTCTTGGTGGTGGCAATACTATTGCCAACCCATCATCTCATTGTTTCCCATGAGATCAATCCTGTAGGTGCCGAGCCCTCTGACCCTATTCCAGCAACATGCTTGAGTGGTTAGCTGAATCAAAACCAAAGACTTGAGCATCTTGCAGGATTGAATCCTATGTTGTTATATATATAGTTATTATTCTTTTTGTATATATCATAATAAATAATAGCTCATTAAGGTGCCCTTTCCAAACATCTAGGGAGCTTTATAGTAGACCACATACAAACTAACAGAAACATAATGAAATATCAGTCTCTTAAAATCTAAAAATAAAAGGAGCTATCATGCACATGAGGGGCTGATTTTAAAACAGGAATGTTAGATACCAAAAAGAAATGCAATACATGTAGATTATATAATTTTCATTCTAAAAATACTTTGGAAAGGAAAAATAGTGTGTGTGGAATGGAAGGTATTGTGGGACTGGGGTTGAAAGTTGAAGTTATTTGTTTTATGTAGGGAGATAAATTTTACTAAGAAAAAAAGACTGCATTTGACCACTGAATTGCAGTAGAAGTACAACTGACTAGCTGCTTAATAATAGCAGGAGCATTTCAAGGAGGACAGCATAAGTGCACAGGGACCCAACAGCATAACTCCATAAATAGATACTGAGTCTGCCCAAGTCCAACATCACAGTCAAGTCAATCTCAAATGAAAGTATATGTTTATTTCGTTTAGCCACAAAACCTGAACATTTTTCTATTTCTGTTCAACCTGAACCAATTGGGGGTGTTGTTTGTTTATCTGATGTTGTTTTTTTGGTGTTTTGTTTTGCTTTTGTTTAGGCATTAAATCAAAAAACGAACTATTCACCAAGTTGTACATATTTTGAAGAAGGTGAAAATGACAAGGCAGCATTAAAAATAGAGAATTAAGATAATCAAGCCTCTCTGAATATGGCACTATTGCTAGGTCATTATGGGATAAAGTCAGAGCCACTGGAAATCATACAAATGAAGAAAAAATGATATTTACTATTAGCATTTAAGTAAAGGTCACTTTGTGTCTCTTACTTCGAAGCTTTCCTGCTAACAAGAATCTTAGAGAAACCTGGTACCCTGGTTGATATTTTTTATGAAATTAAAATATTCTCATTCCAAAACTAATTCCTCTAAAATCTTCCACCAAATATCTTGGTAAACACAGACTCTCCTTGAAGACTGATAGATTGTCTGGGACAGAAGCAGCTACATCCTCCAAGTAGAGTTTCACTTACCCTGAACAAATACTGTTTAATCAAACTTTATGACACTGTGATCAGAAACCATTCCCAAGTGTCTCCAAAGAATTACCACAATCAGCATACAAGAACATACCCTAAAATGTTAGTTTTCTTCCAGTTATTACTGTATCACAGCCTTTGCCATTATCTTAGTCTAATACTCCTGCTCTTGTATTTTGTATGGCTTTCTATCCTTTTGGTCCATTTTTCAGGTACAGCTGTAAACCAAGAACACCAAAGATAGCTGTGTTTGTACCATGAATAAGAGATGAGTTCCTTGCTTGTGTTTCTAGTGGTGGCTGTCCACAAGGATCATCGTGTTGGTGGAGAGGGCAAACTCCAAAAGGCATAGGCTACATTTGAGAGCAGAAGAAAAACAAATGGAAGCATGAGGCCCCTGCTTAACACCTTGGGACACCTGGTAATGGACACTCAGGAAAAAAACTGAACTCCTGAATGTCCACTTTGCTTTGGTATTTCACTGGACCAAGAGGAAAGACAAGCAAGATAAGGATCACAGGGGGCATGTTAGGAATGATAGCCTTCCCACTGTGGATGCTGAGCTTGTGGAAAACCAACTAAAAGCTAGACATTTATAAGTCAGCAAGACCAGATGAACTTCACCTGAGAGTGCTGATGGAACTGGCTGAAGTCATTGAAGAACCCCTGGCAAAACTCTTTCAGAAATCATGGCACACATGGGAGATCTCTGAGGATTGGAAGAGGGCCAACATTATGACCATCTTCAAGAAGGGGAAGAGGGAGGGTCCAGGCAAATATAAACCAATCATCCTAACCTCCATCCGAGGGAAAATCCTGGAAAAACTCATTAAAGAATCTATATGTGATTTACTCATTGAGGGTAAGATTCTGAACAACAGCCAGCATGGCATCATCGTGGGTAGGTCTTGTCATACCAATCTCATCTCCTTCTTTGAACAGATCTCTCACCACCTGGACACAGGAGAGAAGGTCAACATTATATACCTAGACTTACAAAAGGCTTTTAATTTAGTATCCTATGATATTCTTGAGGAAAAATTGGAAGATTGTGGTCTTAACTACTCAACAGTTCAGTGGGTGGGAAAGTGGCTGCATGGTAGGACCCAGAGAGTTCTGACAAATGGATCTGTGTTGTCCTGGAGAGAAGTGGCCAGTGTTATCCCTCAAGGGTCTGTGCTTAAACCAGTGCTTTTCAACATCTTTATCAATGATTTTGATGTGGAGGTGAACAACTCACTGGCCAAGTTTGTGGATGACACCAAGTTATGGAGAAGCGTGGTCATGCCAGAAGATAGGTTGCAGGTACAAGTGGACCTGGACAGGCTGGAGAGGTGGGCAAACCAGAACTAGATGAAATTCAAAATTCAGAAGTGTAAGGTGCTCCATCTGGGGGCAAACAATCCCCAACATACCTACAGGCTCAGTGGTGACAATTTGACTTGCACCATGGCCGAAAGGGACCTAGGGGTAGTGATCAACCATTGCATAAACAGGAGCCAGCAGTGAGATGCTGTAGCTAGCAGGGCAAAAAATATGCTGTGATCAGGGACTTGCAAGACAAGTGATCTGAGGAAAGGCTGAGGGACTTGGGCTTCTTCAGCCTACAGAAGAGAAGTCTGAGAGGGGACTTCGTAGTGGCTTACCACTACATGAGGGGAATACATCAAAAACGTGGTGAACAGCAGTTTACATGGGTACCCCTGGGGAAGACCAGGTGCAATGGATACATACTGCTGGAAGCCTGCTTCAGGCTCAATTCCAGGAAAAACTCCTTTAAGTCAGGGTGTCCAGACTCCCTCTAGTGGTGGTGCAGTCACCTACCCTGGAAATCTTCAAAAGGAAAATGGACAGTGGCCTCGCTGGGGTCACTTGATCCCAGTTGTCTTTTCCTGCCTAGTGGAGGGGGACTGGACCCAATGATCGACAAGGTCCCTTCCAGCCCCTATGAATCTATGAATGTTCTGGGAGGGAGGCCAGGTTCAGCTGCCTTTCTGTACAACAGAACACGATACAACAGAATAAACACAAAATGCAATACAGGTAATATGAAAAGAAGGGTATCCAGAGACTCCACAGGAAATGCGCATTAGCCCTGATAACATGGGAATAAGCTGGCATGGCTCACACAAACTGAGAGAGGATAGTACACATTTTTCCTCTGCTCTAATGTAGACTGCAGATAATCTTTCCGTGCCACCCTTTTTGGCCTGTTCCTGCTCAGCCACTTCATAGAGAGCTGCAGAAGGGATAGCTGAGTCAACACCTCTCTTGTTCCTTACCAGACAGCAATCTGAGTTAAGAATGGATAGATACACAGGAAGCTGTATTATAAACTCTCACCCGCACTACTGTTGCCCCAGGTAGACCTCTCACCAGGGTCCTGAGCCCTGGTTTGTGCTGTTGGAAGCCATTGTAATCCAAGAGTGAATTCAGACCACCAAGAAAAGTGTTTTTAGCATCAAAACATCAGATACAATAAATGAACTGCTACTGGAAACTTACAGACAGAATCTGATCAGCAAGCCTCTATGAATAAATCTACACAGAATTAACTAAAAAGCTGTAAAGGGTCATAATGTACATCAAGTATGCCCTTTCATAAGGGCACTAGAGATGACCTGGAACAAATATCCACTATTCAAATATAACCACTGGCAGTGGAAAAATACTGGCTTC